GTTTTCTAACAGCTACATTATTTGTCAAACTGTAGTCTTCTGCTTGCCACTAGTGTGAGCAGAGTATACACAAGAGGCTGTATGAGTACTGATATTACTTTAAAATCTCACGGGAGTCACGGCTTTCAGCCAATCAGATTCGAGAACAAGACAGAACTGTTCTGTCATATTCAAAACATTATCAGCCATCCCTATAACATTTTGAACCCCTATAAGTGTGGATTATTTGTGTAACCAAAAATGTTTCTATGACATCATTAATGTAATGTAATTTTAGGAGTTTTCATTATACAACAGTGAAAAAACTAATGTAGCATCTTGCATTAAGTACTATTGAGCTATTAAAGGTGTTCTTCTTCAAAAAGTACATTACAGCCCTGACCTGCATTTCCACATTCATAGTCAGCTGCATATAGAGAAATGCTCTTTATGCCTTAATGTGTCATAATATGTAAACAACTTCTCCTACAGTAAAGCGAAAGAGAGGTAAATTATATATTGATGTTCATCCTCAGTTGGCCTGTGAGTGTTGATGTCCCTCCGCTTCACGAGTCTGAGTGATTTGTGTCGAGCTGTAATAGATGGAAGCACTCTCCTCAGGTTAAACTGCTCTTGCTGGATGCTCAGATCAATAGAGTTATTTTAAGGCACTGTCACATACTACAAGCCTGATTTGTTGATTTACTGTACCTGTGTCTAAAGCATCCCATGACAGAACATGCAAACATCTGTCAGGGATCCGCTCCGAGATTTCTGACTGACACTGATAACCTGTTATTTTAATGGTGGCAGGTAAATAATGTGATATAAATACCCTATTGTTTGTGCATGACTGAACATCAGCTGTAGTGAGATAAGGCATGGTTAAAAAAAACTGGTTTGTAGCCTATTAAAAACAACAGATTTTGAAATTGGTTTGAGGATTAAGTCAAAGTTTGACTAATTTAAGCTACTTTTTAAATCAATCTCACATATTTTCTTTAATATATGATCCTCTTATTTCTTAAATACACACTGTAAAAGAACAGCTGTAGCTTTAATAACAAGTATTTTGTGATTCGTGTTTTTATTTTTCCTTTTGTACACTAACTGTAAAATATTGTCGTCAATCTCAGTTGTAAGAGCAACTAATAATAACTTGACTTCTAGTTGATCATTTGGTAGTTCTAGTTGATCAAGTGGCAGAAGGTAGATTTTTCTGATGAATTCTCTGCTGAGCTGCATCCCAATCATCACAAATACTGCAGAAGACCTACTGGAACCTGCATGAACCAAGATTTTCACAAAAATCAATCAAGTTTGGTAAATGAAAAATCATAGTTTGGGGTTACATTCAGTATGGGGGCATGTGAGAAATCTGCAGAGCAGATGGCAACATCGACAACCTAAGGTATCTAGACATTTGTGCTGCCCTTTACATTACAAAACAGAGGAGAGGCAAATTCTTCAGCTGGATAAAGCTCCTTCTCATACTTCAGCCTCCACATCAAAGCTCCTGAAAGCAAAGAAGGTCAAGGTGCTTCAGAATTGGCCAGCTCAGTCACCAGATAGGAACATCATTGAGCATGTCTGGGATAGGATGAAGGAGAAGTCATTGAATACAAAGAATCTTGATGAACTCATAATTTGCCATTCCATTGACTCAAAATATCTGAGACACTGCAAAGATGTATGGATGCAGTCATCCAAGCACATTAGAGTCATACACAAAATTGCCTCTTTTCCCACTGCACCATCACTTTATATTTTATACTGGACATTATTTCTGTTAAGTGACAAGGCTTTTGTCTAAGCAAAGTCAGACCTTACTGTCTTAATTAAATAATTAAAAATCAAGGCATGATCATATTTTATTTTGGTAAAATAAGCATAATCTAGAGGTCTTTGCCTTTCATATAAGCCACTACTACTGACATCAAATGATCAAATAAAAGTCAAGTTATTTGTTTTTTCTAAAACCTGGATAGGTGACAAACTTTTGTCAGGTAGCGTATATAGTCTTTTGAATTGCATTATGTGATCTTGATCTTTCTTCCAACATTTTATAACCTTTAAAAGTTTGAAAAAGTGATATATATTTACGTTTTTATTAGTTTGAAGTAATATATTGTCTGGGTGGGTGTTGTATATAATGTTACAAAAAGCTTGTAATAAACTGCCAGTATTTTTTTTTTTCAAATTTATTTCTTTATATATTATTTCTTATACATTATATTATTTCAGATTACTAAAATGTCAACAAAAGTCACTTTGTTAAACTGTAGAGTTGAATTTTCAACATCAAAAATCGACAGAGCACAGACCTAACTTTTTTTTTTACATAACACTTGTGAATCACAAAATGTGGAAACTGTTAATCAACAAATACTTTTTTACAGTGCATCTGCACAAAAATCTATGATATATTGTTAGAAAAATAGAGCAATATGCAGAAAAAATGATAAAACAGTGGACAGACAGACACAGATAGACAAACAGGATAGATAGATAGATAGATAGATAGATAGATAGATAGATAGATAGATAGATAGATAGATAGATAGACAGACAGACAGACAGACAGACAGACAGACAGACAGACAGACAGACAGACTAGATAAAACAATATATATATCCATTCATACATCCATCGGACTGTCTCTGTCCACTGAACCGCATGGAAAGCATTTACCCAAAACGTATGTCCATATCCTTGGAGTCTCAGCGCAAAGCTAATTAACTGCAATTAGTGTTTGTAACGGGTAATTATATTACAGTTAATTATCCTGTTACCAGATGCTGATTATTTAATACAGGGGTGTGTTTGGCATCTGCTGCCAATGAGGGATGATTACACGCTATAGAGCGTTGCATGCCATCAAATCGCTGGACGAACAGACGAGCTCTGAAAAAAATGAACTACGGGGCACAGAAGGTTAATTTGATCCAGCACACGATGAAGTTCTCCGATTCAACAAGACCGGTGTGCATTTCTTTGCACCTCAGCTGCATACATATGTGTGTGTGTGAAGTGGGTGTGTGAGTGCATGGGTGTTGACATTGACGTTATTTTTGTGAATGATGGGGTTCATAACTTCTAACCTGCTTTCCTTATCTGATGAATCATCATCCAGCAGCGAGCTCCCAGAGACCCTCTGAGCAATTACACTGTCAGCAGAAAACGCACCGCTCCAGGTTTGGATGTAGCATACTGCTTGTGTGTCTGCATGTAGTTAACATGGCCAAAATAAGTAAATACTTAACATGCAAATTCCTGACAGTACAGAGTGACTATGTGTATGTGATCAGAAAAATAAAACAACGCTATTTTATACGGATGGATTAAACAATGCTATTTTCAGAGATAGATTGATGAATGGATGGATAGACAGAACAACAGATGCAGATGGATGGATGGATGGATAGATGGATAGATAGATAGATAGATAGATAGATAGATAGATAGATAGATAGATAGATAGATAGATAGATAGATAGATAGATAGATAGATAGATAGATAGATAGATAGATAGATAGATAGATAGATAGATAGATAGATAGATAGATAGATAGATAGATAGATAGATGGACTGAACAAATGATAGAACAATAGACAGACGAATTGATGGATGGGTGGATATATTGATGGACTGAACAAACATTAGAATGATAAAACGATAGATGATTGACGGATGGACGGACACACAGATAGATAGAACAATTGACAAACAGATGGACGGACGGAAAGACAGACAGACAGACAGACAGACAGACAGACAGAGAGACAGACAGACAGACAGACAGACAGATAGATAGATAGATAGATAGATAGATAGACAGATAGATAGATAGATAGATGATAGATAGATAGATAGATAGATAGATAGATAGATAGATAGATAGATAGATAGATAGATAGATAGATAGATAGATGATAGATAGATAGATAGATAGATAGATAGATAGATAGATAGATAGATAGATAGATAGATAGATAGATAGATAGATAGATAGATAGATAGATAGATAGATAGATAGATAGATAGACTGAACAAATGATTGAACAATAGACAGACGGATTGATGGATGGGTGGATATATTGATGGACTTAACAAACATTAGAATGATAAAACGATAGATGATTGACGGATGGACAGACAGACAGATAGATAGAACAATTGACAAACAGATGGACGGATGGACGGACGGAAAGACAGACAGACAGACAGACAGACAGACAGACAGACAGACAGACAGACAGACAGACAGACAGACAGACAGACAGACAGATAGATAGATAGATAGATAGATAGATAGATAGATAGATAGATAGATAGATAGATAGATAGATAGATAGATAGATAGATAGATAGGCAAAACAATGTGAATTTCATATTAAAAAATTTTCCTAATACATTTTCCTGCCAACTCATCAACAACCCTGCACCTTCAATTCGCACTCTTTCTCTCGCCACTATAGAAAAATAATCACTTGCACAAACAGTAGTGACAGTTTCACCATCATCCCTAGAGGGACATTTTCTTCTCGTCTTTTCTCTCGGTTCACAATATATCATTCTCCCTTAGGCCAAAATGAGAGACAGAAGCATCAGCTCCTCTGTGCTCATTTGCCCGTGTCTTATTTTTGCAATGTGCTGACCAAGGACGCTTACTCCCAGAGCCCCGAGCTACAGTACAGAAGTGTGTGGGAGACTTCATATGAGCGATAAAACCAATACCTAGCACATAAACTCTGACAGAAAGACGCCCGATTCCTCATCACACACTCAGTACGTTCTCCGCTCCGATGCCATTGTGTAGTCATTCTGTTTAGAGGCTTGATGATACTTTTCTTTACCTACCATAATTGCTTCATGAGCCCGCTGCCGTTTACTTTCTTACTGATAACAACCAAAGACAGTCATAAAGGGAACTATCTGTTCTTGAGTTAATAATGTGTTTCGTCCCGCTTGAAATGTGTGAATTAACTTCTCCCCCCTCTTTCTCGTACTCTCTCCAGCTCCATTCTCCCCTGCCGGCTTAGAGAGTCAAGTCAAGTTTGATGCGTATGGAGATGGAGTGGGCCGCTACAACATCTTCAATTACCAGAGCGTGCCAGGAAGTGACAAGTTTGCTTATGTACAAGTAGGAGAATGGGCAGAGAGTCTATCCCTAAATGAAGGCTTGATTGGCTGGCCAAGGGGAGCTGATGTGCCCACTTCTCAATGCAGCGACCCTTGTGCTCCAAACGAAATGAAGAAGATGCAAGCAGGTGAATACTGTTGCTGGATTTGTACTCCCTGCGAGCCTTACGAATACCTTCCGGATGAGTTTACCTGCATGCCCTGTGCACCAGGTCAGTGGCCCCGTCCTGATCTGACTGGGTGCTATGACCTTCCGGAGGACTACATCATGTGGGAGGATGCTTGGGCCATTGGACCAATCTCGATTGCATGCGTTGGCTTCATCTGTACTTTAATGGTGTTCATCGTCTTCATTCGGCACAATGACACACCACTGGTCAAGGCGTCCGGTCGTGAACTGTGCTATATCCTTCTGCTGGGAGTCTTCATGTCCTACGTCATGACTTTCATATTCATTGCAAAGCCATCACCTATTGTGTGCACATTGCGAAGGTTAGGCCTCGGTACCTCATTTGCAGTGTGTTACTCTGCCTTGCTTACGAAAACCAATCGAATCGCTCGAATCTTCAGCGGTGTGAAGGAGGGTGGGGCTCAGCGACCACGCTTCATCAGTCCCAGCTCACAGGTTTTCATCTGTCTGTCGCTGATATCTGTTCAGCTCCTGCTGGTGTCGGTATGGCTGCTGGTGGAAGTGCCCGGTACGCGGCGGTTCACCACGCCAGAGAAACGCCAGACTGTCATTTTGAAGTGCAATGTAAGGGACTCTAGCATGCTGATGTCGCTGAGCTACGATGTGGTTCTGGTGGTACTCTGCACAGTCTATGCCTTCAAGACCCGCAAGTGTCCGGAGAACTTCAATGAGGCTAAGTTCATCGGGTTCACCATGTACACCACATGCATCATCTGGCTGGCCTTCCTGCCAATCTTCTACGTCACGTCCAGTGACTACAGGGTACGTCTGACACTATAAATTAAATTTATTTTTGGCATTATTTACAGAGAGGGGGGCCAAGGTGGGGAAAGGGCCAGGAGCCAGGTTCACATATTACACCTTTTGCATGCTCAATTTCATTAATTCTAATGAAAACTTGTGGCAATGATGCACACTCACTTTTTCAGACTCAACTTTTTAGATATTTAGAAGCACACCACACATCATGACAAGAACCAATCAATCAGCTTCACATTTTGTATGAAAAATACACATCTCAGTAATGATGGTAAACAAATTACCTAAACGCAGAGCATCTAAACACTGGAAGCGTAGTACCTTCCACACACGTGATATGTGAATGGCCTCCAATAGTATTTAGATGCAGACTTGGTTTTGTTATCTCAGACATGTAATGTCAGACACAATTCACTAAATGGAATTAGTGACCTCACTGTGAGGGGTAGGATTAGGGGCGGGGTTGTGTGTGCATTAAAGCATTACATGCAGTTCACCTTGCAACTGCACTTGGTCTGCATCTAGACCCCTCTCCAATGGCCCCTTAAAAAGTTCATATAATTGCAATTCAAGAGTTCAAACTTAGTTGATGATTGATTATAAAGCATGTTTGGCATGCTGTCCTGGGAAAGTGCCCTGATCTCATAAGATCCTCGAGGCCAGGGCTCCCTCCCGTTGCAGAGCGAGAGGGGAGTTTGAGCTCAGGTTGATCTTGAAACTCCCCTGCTGTTGTAGTTAATGAAAAAATAGGGATTGCTATAAAGAGATAACTACTTACTAGTAGCATGCTTATGGTGCTCATTTGAATTAGTCAATTAGCTTAAGTTGCATGTTTCTGGACGGTGGGAGGAAGCCGGGGTACCCGGGGGAAACCCGTGCGAGCATTGGGAGAATATGTAAACTCTGCACAGAAACGTTGACTAGCTTGAACCAGTGACGTTCTTGCTGTAAGGCAACAGTGCTAACCACTGGGCCACTATGCCATCCGTCTAGGAAAGGAGGAGGAGTAGGGGTGGAAGGGGGGATTCTTCAAAACGAAGATGGCTGTGGTATGGGTCGTCTGATTGGTGAATCATGAATTGGCTAATGCCGGTCCAGCTGCGTTCAATTAAAAGCATGTGATCCTCTCAAAATTAGTTTATAAATAAACTTCACTAAGTGTAACTTTAAAAAGATATTAACTACCCCAAAATACAATTCCTTCACCATTTTCAAACCTTCATGTTGTTCCAAACTTGTATGACCTACACTTTCTGTCAAACACAAAAGAAGGTCATTTGAAAATTGTTTCAGTGTTTTGTTTGTCTGTTTTTTGGTCTATACACTGAAGTCAGAGGGTTCAAATATAGTTTAGGCAACAGTTCTTCAGATTTTAGCTCTAACCAGCTCCAAAACTCTTTCCTCTAAGGGTGCACCCACACTATGCTATCCGAACCATGCCCAGGCACATTTCCTGGTTAGATTGAAAAGTGTGAGAGTGAATTGGGCCCGGGCACGGTTCAGTTGGATGAAGTGTGGCAAAGCGCGGTTCGGTTGGGCTTTGGCACGGTACGATTGTAGTGTGAGTGGAAAGTGCGCCTAAGCCTGAAACTGAAAATGCAACGTCACTATTAAGGGACAGTTTGCTGTGGACTTATTAATCATACTTACTTTTCAATGAAGACAAGCTGTCAGTTTATTATAGACGCAAACCGCTCGCTGTACATCAGCTGCACCTTCAGCAAAGCATCCTAATACATGCAGCACGATGACTTATGATAATTTATAAGCGTCAAAAGTTGTGGATCTGTTCTGCAAAATATTTAAATGTGTGTCACTGCATCCCAAATGACTAAAACGTTATAAAGCAATCCCCACTGTGCTGAGCGAGATCGCTTCTCATCCACCTAAACTGAACAGTCGATGGAGCGTGCTCAGGGTCAGAAGGAAAATGCAGTGTGAGTGCAGGCCATCAGAGGAGAGGGAAGGGGATACAATTGTGCATCAGCATGGTTCATGGCAACTAAACCTAGTGTGAATACACCTAAGGATCTAGTGATTAACTGGCTCAAGTTTGTACGATTAGGGTTGAATTAGCTAAATGCAAAAAAAGGGTCTAGTCACTTCGGGTTTTCCTAGAGGCACACCAACACTACACATTTCCCAGCTCCTCCTTTTCAAAACATCTGAATCAACTCATCAGTTTATTATTAGATATTCCAAGACCAGACATAAATGGGTCAGATAAAGAGAAAAACCTAAATGTCGACATTAATGTGTTCTGCAGTGAAATAATGCCAGAATTTACCTAATAATACTTGTCACTGTACAAATTATTATGAATGAGTCTCCCTTTGGGGTGTGGATAAATCAATAAAACTTCCAACTCTTGTAACCAGTTCTTCACAATTTTGCCCAGTACTGTTTGACGTAAACAGAAACACCGCTCAGATCAAATTACAGTACCTGAAGCTAAATGAAGATTTAATCTATTTGTGCGAAAACGAATCAAAGTGATCTGAGCTGAAGAGTGGAACCAGAAAAAAAGCCATTAACATGCAAAACAGACAATGTTGTCTTGTATCCGTGCTTGTGGGAATGCGAGACGCCTGCTGTTCGGATAGCTGTTACGTGTATTAGGAATTACACCAAGTAAGCAGAACTGTCAGATAGAAATCTGTTGACAAATTTAAATCTTCAGCAAACACATAGCCTCAACAGACAACTTCTCAATAGCTCATTGATGCAGCAAATATATCGCATAGAGTGATTCAGTGTGACAGTGCCTGAGCATCTCTTTAACTGAGTTTGTCATTCACCACACCCAGCGAATCCATCTCAAAGCTGAAGTACTCAAACAGCGCTGTAGGACCAGACTGGTTAGAGGCACATACATGGCCCGCTGACGCAAGGAGGAATTCTTGCCGGGAGAGTGACGAAAATGAGTCTTACCAGGCCACAGTCAATGAAGTGCGAACAGAGGCTCTTTGCTCAAGAGACCCGGCCCTCAGAGACCACTCGCTCAGAATGCTGATGCCTGTAGAACCGCAGGATAGTGGAAAGATATAGAAACCCAAGTGAAACGCTTGCAGAGCCACGAACCAACCAAGCAGAACACAATTGAATAAGGACAGCTTTGTAGATGGCTCACACTGATTCCATTGCAGAAATATATGAGCAAGACTAATAGAAAAGCTTATCAGTCTGCATATTTTTATCAGTACATGTGCATACACACGGGAAACTTATTTAAACCTGACGATAAAGCATAATGGGATAAAGGTCTGAAACTGATCACACGGTTAATTTGGCTCTCTGTGAAATCATGCTTTAAGCGGATCATCCTTGAGTTGTTTGTAAAGGTCTAGGTTCCCTTGGGGTTGAGATATTCCTGTTCTGTTTAGCGTTATATCTGTCCTCTTATCCATTGGCTCACAGCAGCGTGCCTTGACGGGGGACCATAGGGAGCAACATGAAGATCTAAAACTAGAGGGAGGAAAATTACGTTCCTAATGGGAGACATTCAGCTACTTCTAATCAAATGCTATTTACGCAGCACTTCGCTAAATGTCACTGTTATTATACCCCCTTGCTCTACCTCTTTATTAGCCAAGGGGATCTTGATAGTTACGACTAATAGCTTCTGATTATCGGAATGAATGGGAGTCACTGTAGAGACAATGAAGGATAAGAAATGAATTGTGTTTTTCTCTCTGTCTCTCTTTCTCAGGTTCAAACCACAACCATGTGTATATCTGTTAGTCTGAGCGGATTTGTGGTGTTGGGCTGCATGTTTGCCCCCAAGGTCCACATCATCATGTTCCAGCCTCAGAAGAACGTCACCAGTCATCGGTTAAACATGAACCGGTTCAGCGTGAGCGGGCCAGCAACTAGCTATGCGTCCCATGGTGAGATCTACAGTCAAACAAACAGATAAATTAGATATAAAGATTTAAAAAGTGAATTTTGAAAAAAGTGAAAAAAAGTGTTCAAAATGTATTGATGTTTTGATGAATAGACGGATGGAAGAAAATAACAGTGGATGGATGGATGGATGGATGGATGGATGGATGGATGGATGGATGGATGGATGGATGGATGGATGGATGGATGGATGGATGGATGGATGGATGGAAGAAAAGAACTGTAGATGGATGGATGGATGAATGGATGGATGGAAAGTACCAAAGAAAAAGAAATAGTTGTTCATTTGTTTCCCACTATAAATATACAAATTATATTAATCATATGATTGATGGATGGTAGAAAGGTGAAAGAAAAGAACAGCAGATAGATGGATTGAAAAAACCAAAGAAACTGGTAAATGGAAATAACTAATGAAGCGAAAGAGTTTTTCATGTTTCCACTATAAATATACAAATAATGAATAATATGAATGGTTGGATGGATAGATGGATGGATGGAAAGAACCAAATAGAGACTGATGAATGGATATCTATCTTACCTTTTAAATGGATAAATGGATCAATAGATGGATGGATGGATGGATGGATGGATGGATGGATGGATGGATGGATGGATGGATGAATGTATGGAAGAAAATATTTATGGATGCATGGATGGATGGATGATGGATGGATGGATGGATGGATGGATGGATGGATGGATGGATGGATGGATGGATGGATGGATGGATGGATGGATGGATGGATGGATGGATGGATGGATGGATGGAAAAAATAGAGACTGATGAATAGATATCTATTTTACTTTCTAAATTGATACATTGATAAATAGATGGATGGATGGATGGATGGATGGATGGATGGGAAAAAAATAGAGACTGATGAATAGATATCTATTTTACTTTCTAGATTGATACATTGGTCAATAGATGGATGGATGGATGGATGATGGATGGATGGAAAAAATAGGGACTGATGAATAGATATCTATTTTACTTTCTAGATTGATACATTGGTCAATAGATGGATGGATGGATGGATGATGGATGGATGGAAAAAATAGGGACTGATGAATAGATATCTATTTTACTTTCTAGATTGATACATTGGTCAATAGATGGATGGATGGATGTATGGATGGATGGATGGATGGATGGAAAAAATAGAGACTGATGAATAGATATCTATTTCATTTTCTAAATTGATACATTGGTAAATAGATGGATGGATGGATGGATGGATGGATGGATGGATGGATGGATGATGGATGGAAAAAATTGGGATTGATGAATAGATATCTATTTTATTTTCTAAATTGATACATTGGTCAATAGATGGATGGATGGCAGAAAAGAACAGTAGATGAATGGATGTATAGATGATGGATAGAAGGGGGAAGAAAAAACAGCAGATGGATGGATTAAAAGAACCAAAGAAAAATGAATGAATGGAAATCACTATTGAAGCGAACAAGTTTTTCATGTTTCCCATTATAAACATGCAAATAATGGATGGATGGATGGATGGATAGAAGAAAAGATGAATAGATGAGGAATGTACGAATATAAGATCAGCAAATGGATAGATGGCTGTGTAAACGGATGAAGGGAAAAAACCAAACAGAGATTAATGAATAAAAATAAAAAATGGATAAAAAAGAAACATAGATAGATGGAAACAACAACTGACGGAAGTACAGGTACTTGGATGCATAATTGGATGATGGGAAAGAACCAAATAGAGACTGATGAATAAGAATAACAATTGGATAAAAAATATAGATAGATGGAAACAACACTTGACAGATGTATCAACAGATGGATAGATGGATGGGTAAAAAGAAAAATGGTTGAATGGATGGACGAATGGATGCATGGAACAAGAGAACAGTGAATGTTGACTAGAGAGCGGTATAGTTTGAATAATAAATAAATTGATAGATACAATATTGGATGGAATCTAAACTACATGACTAAAGTCTTGTCCCCTATCCAAGTTATAGGAACAACAAATAATAACTTGACGTCTAGTTGATCATTTGGTATCAGAAGTGGCTTACATGAAAGGCAAAGGCCTCTAGATTACACTCATTTCACCAAAATAAAATATGATATTATTTTTAATTATTTAATTAGGACAGTAAGGTCTGACTTTGCTTAGACAAAAGTCTTGTAACTTAACAGAAATAATGTCCAGTATAAAATATAAAGTCATGGTGCAGTGGAAAAAGAATGAATATTGTGTATGACTCCCATGAGCTTGGAGGACTGCATCCATACATCTCTGCAATGACTCAAATAACTTAATAAAGTCATATGGAATGGCAAAGAAAGCGTTCTTGCAGGACTCTCAGAGTTCATCAAGATTTTTTGGATTCATCTTTAATGCCTCCTACTTCATCTTTCGCTCAATAATGTTTAAATCTGGTGACTGGGCTGGCCAATCCTTGAGCACCTTGATCTCCTTTGCTTTCAAGGGCTAGATGTAGAGGCTGAAGTATGAGAAGGAGCGCTATCCTGCTGAAGAATTTGCCCTCTTCTGTGGTTTGTAATGTAACGGGCAGCACAGAATGTCTTGATACCTCAGGCTGTTGATGTTGCCATCCACTCTGTAGATCTCTCGCACGCCCTCATACTGAATGTAACCCCTTCGCCCTTTTTCCTTCACTAAACTTGACTGATTTCTGTGAGAATCTTGGATCCATGCTGGTTCCCATACATCTTCTGCAGTGTTTGTGATGATTGGGAAGCAGCTCAGCAGAGGATTCATCAGAAAAATCTACCTTCTGCCACTTTTCCAAATGATCAACTACAAATCAAGTTACTATTTGTTGCTCTTACAACTGAGATTGACGACAAGACTTTTGCCAGGTAGTGTATGTAAATAGGGTTTATTTATAGAATTGAACATTTCAGATGGCATTCTAGTGCCAAATCAACCTCTCAATCACCTTACAACGCCATAGCAACCCTTTCACAACACTTAAGCAACCATCAATGCATCACCATTACGGCTGTGTCTTTCACATTGCATCTTCAGGGTTATGGTAAAATGGGACTCTAATGTGATGATAAACTATATTACATACTTGCTTCATAAGCATGCAAAACTGCAAGCCATAATGGCACGAGTCGCAAAAAACACTGAAAACAGCACAAATTGAAAAACACCCTGCAAAGCAGTTCACTTGTGCTCTGAATACATGTGACACGCAAGGCCAACTGGATGTCAATGCTGAACTTTCTGCAGTGCTTACACAGGCGGTTTGCAGTGATTACAGCCCTTTGATATGCCAATTTACACAGAGGATTTTAATGTCAGCATTGTCACACAGAGCAGTTGTGTAAGAGCCCAGAGGAAAAGTGCGGCCGTTCTAATAAGCCCATGTGTGCACAGAAACCCGCTTCTGCTCTGATGCATTATTCACGAGCACAAAAACAGATCAGGTAAACAGTTTCATCTTTATTTACATTTTATCCATCTAATAAATAACATGACAGACACTGCAAAGAAGAGAAGACACAGCAGAGCAGAGATCACATACAGTCACTCGCTAGCAGAGAAACCAGGGGGAGGAAGGTGATGAGAGGAGAATCAAATCGGGGGGAAAGCATGTCTGGGAACTTTTTGAAAAGTTTGTGCTGCCTTTTAAGTCAAGTTGGCCACATGTAACCCTGGCTGTGTTCTCTGTCACATTCTAACAACTGTTATTATCGCTGCAGTATAAAGCTTGCATACTGCATGTAGTATTTATTTGTTTTTATTATTATTATGCACAGAATAGCTTGATAAATGATGTGTACTGCCTACTATATGTCAAAATGAGCAATTTGGATTTTAAAAGATGTTCTAAAAGGTCTTAACCTGACAGTTTAGTTTATGAATATTTAGTAAAATTGAAACAAATAAAGTGTTGTGGAAAGTTACTTTAGAAAGTAATGCATGACAATATTGAGTTTCTCAGTTACTTTTTATGGCTAGTAAGGCCTTACCTTACTTTTAAGTTACTTTTGTGTTACTTTTTATTATCTAGCTGAGGCTTGCAATTAACATAAAAAAAGTCATTTACCTTTGAAATAATATTTGGGGATAAAGGTATCTGAGAGCTTTCTGACCCCAGAGCTATACATGCCGAATATAGAATATTGCAAGTTTAAAGCCATGTGTTTGCTACTTTTGTACTTTTTGTCATAAGTAAAATCATTGTTCATAGAGACGATAATCCCCTTTTCCTTTTCTTCCATGCGTTCCAAAATAATGGATACATTCTCATTGACTGCATGATTCATAGTGATGATCACTTAAATTAATTGAGAAATGTATTTTTTAAAAGCGAATTAATCAAACTAAAAACTAACTCGTGTTACAGTTTTTAAAAAGTAACTCAAATATGATTACTTACTTTTTTAAATGCGTTACTTCACATCTTACTTAGAAAAGTAATATTATTACATAACGCGCGTGCTTGTTAATGCAATACTGTTAACAACTTCATAATATTTGTTATATTTGACAACGGTATTCTATGTTATTGTTACTTGACTAGTTAAAAATACAATATCAATAAAATAAAACAATTAAAATACTAAAATAAATACTTCTGAATTACATTTAATTTGATTAATTTATAAATTTACAAATATCTTTCTTAAATAAGTAATTTTAAATTAAATAAACTAATAATATTTTTTTTAGTTTTCAATAGAATTTTTGTAAAGGTTTTTGTAATTTTAGTGCAGATTCCAATTTAACGACAAAACAAACTTTTTCCAATGCAACTAGCTTTCAGTCACAGAACATCTTTAGAAATAGATACTACATTTGAATTCATGCAAAATATTGCAAAAAAAATTACAAACTACAACATTTCAACAATTGTTTTCTATATATATTTTTGTTTCTCTTGATTGTTGCTGTTTTTAAAAATGTTATTTAATATTTTTCCCTAACATATAAATTTGGCCTTCTAATATTTAAGCTATTATTATAAGTTATTTTGTTAGATAACCTTCAGATTTGGCTTCAGTACTGACTAATCTACTGTACAGTAAATACATATATTAATGTAAATGAGAGATTTGTGGAGGGTGTCCTCATATATGCTGAGTACTTTATATATGTACAGTTAAAGTCAGAATTATTTACCACCCCTTTGATTATATATATATTTTTTAAGGTCAATATTATTAGCCCTTTTAAGCTATATATATTGTTTTGATAGTCTACAAAACAAACCATCGTTATCCAATAACCTGGCTAACTACCCTAACCTGCCTAGTAACCTAATTAAACTAGTTAAGCCTTTAAATGTCACTTTAAGCAGTATAGAAGTGTCTTGAAAATATCTAGTTAAATATTATTTACTGTCAACATGGCAAATACTGTTTGTAGTATGTTAATAATATTTAACCATACTTATTCAACCTTATTATGATATTTTACTAATAAATGTATATTTTTTTTACATGGGTAATCTAAAAAACATTAACTGTATTACAATAGTATTTACTATATTGATTTAGATATTTATTTTAATAAAAAAAACTATATATGTATGGTCTGTGGTGATTTTGGGGCCCCTGTTTTGACATGCCCCGATATTTGTGCTTATTTCAGCTACTTATTACATAGTATTGGCCAACATGGAATTTTTTGTATTTGTATTTTTTTGTATTCAGCACAAACTGTGCTACAATGATATGTAAGAAATATTGATGTACATGCTTCCATTTTTTTTAGAAAAAAAATATTTGCGAGGTTAGTAGGTGAAATAAGGTCTAAAAAAATAATAATAATACTGAAATGGCCGGAATAAGACTTTTGAGTAACCAGTCTTGTAAGCTAAAATATTTATTTCACGATTATGTAAAAATTAATTTGTTTTCTCAAATCAAAGAAAATATTTCAGTAATTTACATTTTGAAAAGTCTGTTTAAAGAATTCTATGTAAATAATTTAAAAAGAAGCATGAGATAAAATGCTATAACTTTTTAACATCCATCTAATTACTCTTTTGCCGTTTCTTTTCAAAGCATCTGTGAGTGCCCACTACGTTCCAACGGTCTGCAACGGGAGAGAGATCGTCGACTCCACCACCTCCTCTCTGTGACCCCGCCCCTTCCTCCAGACTCCTCCTCCTTAGCGACTGTTAGCCAATCAGCACACATTGTGCTCTGCCCAAGAACTAGGTCTGCCTACATTGTGTAGAAAGCGTGTATGATTACGATGAATATTAAATTATTTTTAGGGCTTGTTGTAAATATTAACTGACATTGTTGTAGAGAAACAAAAGAACAAAAAAATCCTTTATAGAAAGATTTTGGAACCTTTTGTTTTGATAGCTTTATTATGTATGTTGTAAACGGCCATGATGTGATGATGTAAGACGCAAAGCAGTTTCTGATTGGGCCATGGTTGATAGAAACTGATAGAGACGGCTCCGCCTGCAATACTGGACACAATTTGTGGTCGTTTTTATTTTGTAGGCCTCATTGTAATAATCTAAACTCTATGTATTTCTATGTTGTACATTTTGTACAGAATCTTAACCGATGGTTTTAACAGCACAAGTCGACAGTATTAGAGTCTTCGCGAGGTCCAGAGGAGGAAAACCATCGAGTGACTTCACGTCGTCTCATCACAGGCAGTGTCTTGATGCCAGAGGTTAAAACATCGTTTTTAGTAAACTGTCATGACACCTGAAAGCATATTACATTGACTGCATCTCATAAGCTTCGTTTGCGGATGATTGATGTTGCAACACAGATATATGCAGTGTTGAGATGGTATATATATATATATATATATACACACATGTTATAAATGTTTACATTGCCTGTGATTATTAGAATTTTTCAGGGACAGAGAGTCTTGAAGATGAGCATGTAAGGTACTGTGAATCTTGCAAAGTCAACATATCCTTCTTTTCCACCATCATGGTGCCGCTGCCAGTGTTGTCACATTCTTTGATAATTTGATGAAACACAAAGGCATTTTATAAGGACAGTTAACTTCAAATCAAACAGGTTGGGCTGTTTGTTCACTCACCCTCAGGTCATCCAAGATTTAGGTGACTTTTTTCTTCAGTGGAGCATTAAAGGAGATTGTTTTAGCTTAAATAGTGGGGCTTGATTTTTGACAATCCAAGTCAATGGCTATTGGCATTAAGAGAATTAAAAAGATGATGTGACGTTGCATTTTGAATTAATTCAAAAATGAATATAATTAGTACTGTCATCATTTCAAATGCAGTAAATGGTTAAACATTTCTTTATATTCCATGGACCTCTTTTTATTAAAACTGCTGTAATAAAATTTCTAGTTAAATCTCAAAACTGTCCTATGGTGTGACTGTCTCAAGGATAGTTTGTAAAATCCTAAAATCATTAATAAATACCTCAGGCCTAATTTTACAAGTGGCTGTTTTAGTAAATGGCATTTCTCTATCCATATATGTCTTCAAGAGTTAACACTTAGATATTGCTTGACAACTGTTAGCAGGTTAGGCATGCTGTCCCGGGAGAGAACCCTGAGCTTGGAGATAGTTGAGCCCAGGGCTCCCGCCAGGTCCATAGAGCATGTGAGGGGAGTACGAGATCAGGTGGTTCTCGAGAGCTCCCCTTTTTTAAAGGAGGAAAGGAGGAGAAAGGGGTGGATGGGGGTTTCTTTGGAAAACGAAGATAAGGGAGTAAATCTAGCTAGGCTACTTATAGTGAGTTAGGATAGATCTGATTGACTAACTAATGAGTGTAGATGGGAGGCCAGCTGCAGTCAATCAAATCACGTGCTGACACTTTAGGTTGATTTCAAATCAGCCTATTCCACTGAAAACTTGAATTCAAGAGCTCACACTTAGATATTGCTTGCTAATAACAGCAGCAGGTTTGGCATGTTGTCCTAGGAGAGACCCATGAGCTCGGAGATTATTAAGCCCAGGGCTCCCGCCTGGTCAATGACCATGTAAGAGGAAACAAAAAAATGTTGTTCTTAAGAGCTTCCCCTGGTAAAGGAGGAAAAGGGGGAGGATGAGGGGGATTCATCAAAAAATGAAGATAAGGGAGAAATGCTAGATGGGCTACTTATAGTGAGTTTGGAATAATTCGGTTGGTTTACTAATGATTAAAGATGAGAGACCAGCCGCTATCAACCATATTACGTGCTCCTCTCAAAATTAGGGTGTGAAACTTCACTTCCATTCAAAATCATGTGACTGAAGCCCCCTGTTAAGCCCATGATGTGCACCTGTTAAGTTTTTATCCCAGAACTGTTTATGCATTTTTCTTTTATGTAACCACTATAAAATTGTTAAGCTTTGTTGACCTTTGGTTTAACAACCTTGTTTACTGAAAATGTCTAACAAGTCATAGCGAAAACAATCCTATTTTTTAAATAAAAATTAAATAAATAAAATTTAAATAAAAATTAAATAAAATAAAAAAATTTTGCTCCGTCACACCATAGGACATTTTTACGGTATTGACTGTATTCTTCAATGAGGAAATGTGCTTGTTTTTTGATTGTTTTAGATCTTCCGATTAAGTTGCCTATGGGAGAAATTACTAGAATTAATAAACGCAAGGTCTTAGAAAGGACATGGATGGAGGGTGTCTCCACCAATATACACCAATTACTGAAATGTCCCCACCCATAATTTAAAAGCCTTCAAAATAAAATAATGCTCTGTCAACCCTTATGACCTAGATGTGCTCAAAGGGTTAAATCCATAGACACGTAGAATATATAGCAGGGATAAAACTTGCATCACATGCCTCTCTAAATTTCTGTATATTCATACCTCCTCAGAGCCAAATTGCAGAAAAATCATGTAAATTTACTTGCAGCCGGAGGTGCTTCATTAAGTGGTACTTGTATTATTATGCGTTTAAAACCTTTTTGGGGATGTACATCCCCACCAATATCAAGAGCAAACCTACACCCTTAAATAAACAGCAGAAAACAGTCAAATTACTTGCTCTATAAACAAGTGTTCATGACTATCCAGACAAAGTAGAATAACATAATAAGAAAACATCAAGCAGCAGAAAGAGCTGATTTTAACATCAAGAAATGAATGGAAGTGAATGGAACGGGAAGTCTCAAGCTAAAAAGAATCAAATGGCCATATCCGCTTGTACCTGAGGAATAAGGGCAATAGTAAAAAAAAAAAAAAAAACTAAGTGAAAGAAATGACCCATTATAAATTCTCAAACATCAGAATCTTTTCATCAAAAATTGTTTTACCAAAAAAAAGAGATAATAATTTACTGGCTATTTGTCAACTACTCATGGCTCCTTATGAAACATTGAGGTCTTAGAACATTGCTCAATCTTTAATCCACTGCCCATTGACACGCTCAGGACTGTTTTCCCATGGATGATGTTATATAATAGCAAAAGTTGAATTTTCAGAATAATTACGGCAGACTTCAGTGTCATAGGATCCTTCAGAAATCATTCCATACACTGATTTGGTGCTCAAGAAACATTTCTTATCATCACCACTGCTGAAAACAGTGAATATTTTGTGGGAAAACTCTGGCACCGGCACCATTTCAGTGGAAAGCTATTGATAATTGGTTGCATTTTTGATGTGTGAAATGCTTTGTGATGCAGTGAATGTAAAATGTATTCTGTTGTTCAATATCGGCTTGTTGTGCCTTATCATTTGTCCTATAGTTTTAATAAGAGAGGTTCCTCAGAGTCTTTGGGCTGGAAGGGGCCGGGCCATTTTTTACAGATGTCTTTTTTTACATTTCAGAGGTTTTATACATTTCTATGTTTTTTCGGTTGGTTCGAGAGAGGGATGCTTGGTTTCTTTGACAAGCTGACGATTTACAGTACGGAGAGTTAAAATGTTAAAAGTTTGTTTGCTTGTTACTAGCTTGCGGCAGTCGTGCTGCCCCAAGAGATTTCTGTACAATATCGCGTTACCTAATGCAAGTGTCAGACTGTATTCATGTCATTGTAGGATCACCCATTGGTGGCCCATCATAAAGAGACATAGTAAACAAACATGTAACAGTAACCCAAGAAATGCTACAGCATTCATAATTCATTGGCATGGCAGCAAAGGAAATCATTTGTGTGTCGGGTTAACAGTACCGAGAGGTGAGCGTGCACAGCAGGAATGATTCAATCAGATGACGGACAAACATAAATCATAAATCAGTTTTAGTCTTCCAATGGAGACGGAGTTGATTACAGGAACACAAAATATGTAGTATAACTACAAAACCATACAATCAATATGCAGTCCATATTTATGATTTGCTCCCCCAGATTTTCTTCAACAAATTAGTCATTTCTCTAGCTGAAAAATGGAATTAGAGATTTCAACAAACCCATAACCCTGATGAAATGCTGTTCCAAAAATAAATTAAAGTATAAGGATTCAAGCCATGTTTGACATTCAGTAATACTGATTAAAACATCCAAGTAACTGAATAATAACAATCTTAAAAATAAAAATAATGAAATGAAATATTGCATAGAAATTGTTCACACTGATCAACTAACCATTTTAACAGCTGCAAAGCACCACCCTGAAAACCACCTTAGCCACTGCAGTAATGTAAAACATATTTAAATAAATCAATGCACTCTATCAAATACACAGCAATATGTGGGAAACAAACATCCCAGAACATCCCAGACACTAGATAGTAAATATTACATTTATAAATAATACAATAATAATTAAAAACCCACTCAGAAAACTACAGGATCTACAGAGCAACATGCTAGAAATACTTTCTAGCAAATGCAAATCAACACTCACCGACCCACATATAAACATGCTCGAAAACAGCAACAGCACCACCATGACTTGGAAACCATAACACCCCATCAATTGTACAGTACATTTTTAAAACTCATACCATAGCAACTGCTTAGCAACACCCTGGAAACTCCCAACAACTAGCAACTGGATATTGTAATTAAGTGGAGGGGGGACGCAGATGAAACACCCTGGAAAACACCCACAACTCCCTAGCAACTGCATAATGAAATGTGGATGGAAAGGCAAGCTGCTGCATGATAACATTGTTAAAAAACAACTCCTAACACCCCAGCCTAAAAACTGAAAAGCAAAATTCGGACCTGATCAACAACATATTATCTATAGGACCAAATCAACACCTCAACACTGGTATAGCAATGCCTTAGAAACCACAGGACCAAATCAATTGTACTGTAAAATTTTAAAATTAACACAGAACACCATAGCAAAGTCATACACTCCAGCACCAAGAATATTCGAGTGGTTCCATAGTAAAATAAAAAGCGCAGGACACTGCTCTTTTAGAAAGTCAGTAAAAAGGCAGTGCAGTGTGCCTTGCGTTTTCACACCTGAAAAACACATATGGTGTGATCAGGGCCTGAAACCACTTATCAATTGCTTAGCAACACCCTAGAAACCCCCCAACAACACATTAGCTAACAACTACATACCCTAGTAAAATAGAGGGAAAAGCAGATGGATCACTCTGAAAAACTGCCTAACAGTTGCATAATAAAATGTGGGGGAAAGCCAAGCTGCTACTTAATAACATTGTTTAAAAAACAATTCATACCACCTTGGCCTAGCAACTGCAAAGCAGAATTCTGAAAAATATATTAGCAAATGAATAGCAACACCCTGGAAACCACTAACAATACCTCTACAGAGTAACAAAAAACACCAACTATAGTAAATACACAATAATATGTTCAGAAACATTCTAGTTGCTAGATCTGAACAAATAAATAAATAAATAAAACATTCAGAAAACTATAGGACCTGAAGTCAAAAACTCAACCACTGCATAGCAATGCCTTAGAAACCACAAGATCAAATCAATAGTACCGTACAACTCTACAATCAACACAGAACACCACATTAAAATCATACCTGTACAAATCAGCACCATTAGAGTGGCTGCATGCTCTAAGAGGCAGTGCAGTGTGCCTTGCATTTTCAGACCTGAAAAACACATCTGGTGTGATCGGGGCCTAAAACCACATATCAACTGCTTAGCAACACCCTGGAAACACCTCAACCAACACCCCTAGCCACGGCATACTGTAGTAACATGGTGAAAAAGCAGGAGGAATGCCTTGGAAAACATCCACTACACCCTAGCAATTTCATAGCCATAAGATGCTGTGTAGCAACTAAAAATATATTAGCAAATTAATATGAACATTCTGGAAACCACTAAAATACACCCAATTAACTTACAACATGCCTTAGCAGCTGCACAGTCGCATCTTAAAGGCATCTTCGCAACATCTTTCACAACAACTGCATTTAGAACTAAGCAACTGCATAGCATTGCCCTGGAAACCAGTACTGTGGTGGTCACTTTTAACCAGGATTTTAGACTATATAAAACCCATTCACGACCTACAAAACAAAGGGTAGCAGCAGAAACAGTCTGTATGTAATCTGGACAGAAAGTTAATAAGTAAGTGCATGCAGGGAGAAAAACAGCATGAGGTTATGTAAAGCAGTTCGCTGCCCCATAAACTCCAGCACG